TTAGTCACTGTTATAGTAATCAAGATGGGGGTTGTCATATAAACGGTGCAAATAATTATGCTATAAAGAGTCAAGATAGACAACTTGATGACAGAAATGAAAGCATTATGAGCTACACTATTTACATAGTAGATGATCAGAGGAATTATGGAAATTAGTAAAAAGGGCACTACGAGTTCTCCAAATAGGTCAGAATGGGTATTTGAGTGGCTTTTTCGAATGGTATTGATTGGGCAGTAACCTTTATTAAAGTTGCCAATAGCTACCCTCCATTGCTGGATACTAATACCTATCCTATCCCAAGTCTCCACTCCAACCACCCTACCCCCCAAAAACAAGTGCAAAAAATATATACTGTCTTCATGTCAGTGATAGGTGGATTTGAGTTTGTATGTGTAATGAGCAAAAACCATGTGAGCAGATTGCTGAAGCATAGATGATATCAACTTAAAACTTAGAATCAGATTAAGTCTTCAAGACATACTGTATGTACAATGTAATACTGTCACTGCATACAATACATGTAAGTTCCAACAGATAGTAATAATCGAAGAGACAAGTCATATATTGTGTGCAGATGAACACGTCTCCCTCAAGCTTAAGTTCTAGATGAGCAATAAAAAATTATAAACCAGGCTTTCTCACTGAGTCAGTATACTTATTGCCAGCAGTCTAGAGTAGTAATGCTACATATATGAACAACTAACCCAAGTTTAAATATAACATGCTTAGATGCCACCACCTAGTTCCCAAGTATGGAGCCTTAAATCAGATTTTAATCAAGAAAAGGAATGGAGACCATAACAGTATATCAGCACTTTTTGGTGGTGACATAATAATGAGGAAAAAGTGACCTGGTCCCTCCTAAAACACTTGAGAAAGATAAAAAGGTTATAACCTGGGTTAGTTCATCAAATCGATATACATGTACTGTTCTGACAGCTGTCAGAAGTTTTAAAACTAACTAGTACTAATATGCATTTACATTTAAAGTACAATACTGTATCAAGTTCAAAGAAAAAAAGATGACCCAATGAACATCTGTTCATTTATCGATGTCCCATAGATCCTGGAGTAGGATAGCTATTTAGGAGGAAATGTAAACAATGTCTATTCACTTAATATAAGAACAAGTGTACCCTTACTGTGCAGACAAGTATATACATACAAGTACTGAGTTACATGTACAGGAATTGTACTTTTCAACCTTGCTTGAATGGCAATCAGGCTTGCACAGGATAGAATGTGGGGTGCAGCTAGGATGCAGATACCAATAATAGCATTGATATATCTGTCCCAATATAAAAATTGCTAATGTCAATATTGTGAGAAAATTGAGAGTGTAAGACAGGTTGAAATCATGTTCAACATCAGTCCAGAGTCACAAAAATACTTTTAGAAATCAATGTTGTCAGTTGATTTTGCAAGTTAAGACACTAGCAGCCTGATTCCCGTTAGCAATTGTGATAAGATTACAAAATTAGAACGTAAATCACAGGTTAAACCTACCTGTTAACTAGCATAGCTTGAGAGGAGACGGAAACTCTATGAATTTCGCTAAGTTTTTTTGATTCTCAATAAATATTATAGTTCTTTTGACTACTTAGCTTTATGGCATAACATTGACATGAACATCTGATTCAAATGAATTTAGTCATCCTAGAAATCCCCACCATGAGTGAGATCGTTCAAGTTTTTTTTCAAATATTTGATCAATTTATGGAACATGTGATATTTTATGTGTTCAGATTAGGTTAATTTTTCAAACATGACTGTTCACTGTCAAAATTGGGAGATGTTCATATTTCAAGTTTTTTAACATTTGAGTCAATGGGAGAAAAAACGGGACCAAAAAATGTTCAAATTGGGAGGTGTTCGGATTAGCCAAGTGTTCAGATATACAGGTTCTACTGTACTACAATTGTTTTCAATCTTTTGGAGGAAAGTGTACATCATTCCAGAGAAATAACAGATGCACTGTATGTACAGTGATCGCCTACTATTAAAAGTGTGTGATCAAAGACTCGACAAGATGCGCAAAATTCAAATATTTTGTAACGGTTTACTTTTAAAAGATTTATTTTTGTTTATATTACAGGTTACTGGTGATTCAATTAGGTTTTGTAGGCACAAGAACACCCATATCCTTTGAGAAATATATATTAGTTTGACCATTTTTCGTATATGTTATTGGTTTTACGATTTTAAAGATATAAATGCGATACAATATGTGTTATTTTATTTAAAAAGCTTGAAAATATCAAAAACAATAGAACATTTTTACTCTCTTTAATTTTTTATACTTAGGTAGGGTCTTGGACTTCCATTTGACCATGATGAAATTCACGTTTCCTCTTCAATAACATGGAATAAATATTTTAACACAGAAACGAATGGATCAGCCAATAGCGTGAGTTTCAGCAAACCATACACCCATATCTATATGCTTTTCAAGAGAAGAAAATGGGGATCTCGCAAAATGTATGTCCAAACTGATTCAGTCAATTAAATGGTCACTGTGTGTGTGATTATTTTGTTTTACTGCCTAGATTTGAATACATTACCATTAAATGATATATACACTGAACCTCTAGAACCTGCTAAGTGAAACACCTCTTGAAGCGTAACACCTTACAAGTGGAATCGTTTTTTAAGTTCCATTTTAGTCCATTTATTTACGCCTCTGATCCCAAGGTATGAGAACTGTACACCTTGGCATCCAAGATGATTGTCGAATTGTAATGTAATTGTAATAAAATATAAAATCTGAATTGTACATTATCTATTTCAAACTCCTCTAAGGTTCAATATTCAGTAGATTTATTGATCAATTTTCAACTAAGGTCTACTAGTGATTAGCTTGAGAATTTTAGAATTGTATGTAATCGAATGCAAAATAAATAACCAGTGGGCGTTTTTAGAGAAACTCTACAAAATGTGAAATAAATACCATGCTATTATCTCTAATGACAGAGTTATGTGGATCGATGGGACCGAGTAAAAGTTCCAGTTTAGGCTTTACTCATAGGGGTATCATCTCAGATTCACTGGTGGACACTATTGGAGAATGAGAGTCTATTGTAATTTCAGAATCATTTATTGTCATTTCGTTACTAATTGATATTCTCGTTCTATTGCAATTTCATTGGTAATTTTATTTGATTTTGTAGCAGTTGTTGAATCAGAGATTCTGGATGATTTCATTCGATTATTGTCAATCACTGAAATTGTCATGAATTCATCACTTTCTACAAGTATGTGTTTTTATTGATTTCACTTCATTTGGTATTATTCCAGAGAAATTTCTTGTTATCATTCTAGATTTGCCTCTATTTTCAGTAATCTTTCTCATCTTCATCTCTTCTTCTTCATGATGTTCTACAAGGTGGTTTATAATGATTTGAAATTTAGGAGTTCGTAATGAAGGACAGTAAAATCATGTAAACCCAACCACTCTGAAATGCAAAGAACATATCATAAGAATCCACATGGTAAAATCACCCACTTGGCTGATCATAAATTGTTTTCATAACATCCTTCTTACTCGATACTGAAGGGGAGTTGGAACGTCTGATATGCATGTAATGTTAAGTATTATGTATATTAAGCATCCATAAGCATGTTGGTTTTGTGGTTTTGGTAATCTAAAAACAGAAAATTTGGTGAAATATACATTTTCATTCGGCGGGTTTTTGATTTTGCTTCATTTATTAACTCAGTTCAGGTATTTCGGTTGAACCAATCACTGAATCCTGTTACCAAATGAATCTTGAGTCTCTTTTATACAGCATATGGAATACCATCTGTAGGTAAAATGACATTAAGGTGGTAAAGAGAAGAGAAACAAACATACCTTTCCTCCGACATTTCGAATTTTGCGCATCTTGTTGAGTCTTTGATCACGCACTTTTAATAGTAGGCGATCACTGTACATACAGTGAGGTGACACACTGTTATGGGAACTGGTCATATCAGATGTTCCCACGCTTTTCGTCCAGAAGAGGTCATTTCCCAGGATTATAGATGAACCCTTGGCCAATCAATGATATAGTTTACATAAGAGAAGTATGACTGTATGAATTCTGGGATATTCCTGTTTTGTTGAGACAAGTGAGAATAAAATTAACCCTTTGCAAATTTGATCAATACTGCCTCCCATCATCCAATACTTGGCTCAGTTAAAATAGTTGATTTATATTTGAATTCGATAATAACATTTAAAAATTAAATGTGTAGTTGTAATACTTTAGTACCTCTTCTTGATTAATGTATAATATCACAACATACATAATGATGCAGGCAATTTGTTTCATAAAAATCTAAAAGTAAAATTCATAATTTAAATTTACCCTCTGGGAGCCCCAAAATTTTAGAAAATGCATTTTCTTGGTGATGTATTTTCTAAACTACCATAAAAACATGTGAAATGATCGTGTGTACATATCACTATTTTACTTCTGCAAAGTCGAGCCTCAAAGTGCTCTCCTTGAACCTTGTAAAGTTTAAACCACTTTTTTTACTTGTATTGTAGTCTTATCTAAGGTTATCAAAATGTGATAGATGGAACTTTTTTGGATTTAAGTAAGTTGTGTTTGGAGGACTCTTTGTAAAATATTCAAAGTGATCTCCTCAGAAAAAAACACTCTATCAGTAATCTTTGTACACTCTATCTTCAAAAGTATGAATCTATGGTACGGTATACCATGTAGCTTCTACGCGGGCTTCTATGAGACAAACACGTAGACAAATACTTTTTGATAAATCCTGAAATTAAGCCACTATTGCAAGATCTTAACACATAAGTATGGTAATCTGGCCCAAATAAAAAGCCGAATAAAAGATGGCAGCATTTTATTTTTTTTATTCAGCTATATAGAAACTATTTTATTGTCATGTTTGCTGTTCTTGTTGTGTTAAAAAGCTGGAACATTTCCAGTCTTTTATAAAATGCGTTGCATAAAGTTTCGAGACAAACTGATTTTGTTTTTTGTCTTTTATAGATGTAAATATGGGATTCCCCTGGAGCTAGGATTCCAAGATTCGCCAAAAGATACGAGTTGACGTAGCGTCACCGTGAAGCTGTTGAAATGGCAAATAATGTCAAGGTTGCTGTTAGGGTTCGGCCTTTCATATCCTTGAAAAAAAAGAAAAATATCATTCATAATTTCATTAATACCAGATTACATATAAAAGAAAATTGCGACTACAGGGTGTTCCAAAAGTAAAAGAACTGGTGCTGGCATTTCGTCAATTCTGCACCGAGTTTGTTCAAATTTTTACAAATTATACTTTGAAGTAGTGCAACTAGAATTGCAAAGTTCCAGAAAAAATGATAAAATGCGGGTAGAGTTATGGGTACTATAGTAACATGACATCACAATACTCGGGGCAACTTTTTCATGAAAATGTAATATCTAACATTTTTGTATTACCGAAGAAATTATCCAATTCCCCTATTACAATACAACATTTCTTGATTGTTTTATTAGTTGCTTTGTAGTAATGGTATTGCTTTACAACTCAGATTCAAATATGATTTCATAATAATAATATTTATTCAATTTCCTGGGATATCACTATGTATAACAGCCTGCACAATTCACGGTTGAGTTTTGAAAAGACCCAATTTTAAGCCAGTCGTCCACCTTGGTAACTCGCCTGCACACAAGTCAGCATTAAAGACCACTGCAGCTATAGAGGAGCTAGGTCTTGAGGTTTAAAATCATGCACCATGCTCTTCTGATCATGCAATATCTAATTTTTATTTATATGGAGAATGGAATACTAATCAGCGTGGTAAGACCTTTAAAGATGAGAATGGCCATCTCCAAGTTGTCCTATCGACCTTGCGTGACATGTCCTCAAATGGGTTCACTCATGTGTTTGAGTCATGGATACAGAGTGCTACTCTTGGGCTGACCAAAGAGGAGCCTACTTTTCAAAGTAGAGGATACATAGAAATATCAAATGATGTATTTAGCAAATATAATAACCACCGGTTGTTGGATTTTAACTTTGATATGGGATGTACAAAATGCTTAAAGTCTCTGTAACTAGCTGCGTGGAATGTTGCCCCGGGTATTGTGATGTCATGCTACCATAGCAACCATAGCTCTACCCGAGTTTCATCATTTTTGTCGAAACTTTGCGTTTTTAGTAACAATATATGAAAGTGCATTACATTATGTAAAATTTTGAAGATGATTGGGGCATATTTAACAAAATACCAGCACCAGTCCTGTTACTTTTGGAGCACCCTGTATAATTTATTTGATAAAGGTAATACGATAAAAATTTGCTATCTAAGATTATCATTTAGGGAACATATATACCCTTCATAATGCCGGCAACGTATTTTTCATAACACTAACGGGCACCCGCTGGCGTTTCCAGAGTTGAAGAGGTACCGTAAAAACTAAGGTACTCTCTAGGGAGGTATGTTAAAATCTCAAAAAGTAGGTCAAATGAGGCCAAAAGTAGGTCAAAGTAATAAAAGGAAGAGATTTTTTGTGTATTTTTTAATTTTTCAATTAAGCAACAACATAATGCACATGTAATACGTTATTATTTGACATTGCATATTGGTTGAGTATTGGCTGAGAAAAAAACGTTTTAGTGCATTACGTCCAGCGAAAACGCAATCTCGCAACTGGCCAAGTGTAAAAAATAGGCATATTTGAGCCAGAAGTTGCAGCATTAACATGAAATTCAACATAAGTTGGTTGAATTAAGTTACATATTTTGTTCATATTTGTTCCATATAATGTTCAAGATCAATGCTATTCTACACATTTAAAAGACTATATGACGATTGAATCTTGGTTCTCAGTAGGTGCTGATGTTTTTTATATTTAAGAATTTTAATAATATAATTTTGAAGTAATATACTTGATTAATGATTATACCAGAGACATGAAACACACACACACATTTTCAAGATTATCACATTATCTTTAACTGCTGTGTACAGTCAACGTGAATTGGACAACCATGCAGAGCTGATTATAGATATGCAAGGACCCACGACGCTACTCACCAATCCAAAAAAGCCTAAAGCTGATCCTCAGAGGTTTACATTTGACCATTCATATTGGTCACATGATGAATATGAAGAGACATCAAGCGGATATTTGGAACCAACTTCAACAACTTCAAAATACACCGATCAGGTATCCTACCTCGAACTATTCATCAGTTTATAAGCCGGTTTTGTAATATATACAACAAATATTGAATAGATAGCCACAGATAAGCGACATAAAAATCAAAGTATCGTTTTCGAGATGTGATTATCCAAACTGGTGGAGTCTTTTAAAATAGGCCTAATAGAGCAAAAGGCAGAATCAGATCTATCGGGAATGACAAAATTGTAAGCACCATGAACAATTGGCCTACCACTTCCTTTTGATCTCAAATACTTTATTTCAAAAAATATCCGCGATATGTTATCAATATTGGTGAAGTTTTCAAGATTCAATGTGCAAAATTGGGGGCAAAAGGTTTAAATTCTCCCAAATAATAAAAATGGTAACCATAAAAATAGAATAATAAGGTATTATTGGAAAAAACTTTAGTTTTCCTGCAGGCATTACAAGGAATAACATGAGCAAAAATTTCCAAAAATGGAAACAATATTTTTGTTTAGCTTGCTCGCTTGATCTGATTCTCTCGTTAAATGTTTTTTTGACATTATATTTTAATTTTCAATATACTGTAAGGAGATCTAGAAATATATGAACACTAGGGTCACTGGTATATATTCCCCCTTACTTAGACACTTTTTGACAAAAGTAATACCCATTGGGGATTATTGGTTTTAAATTTTATCAATAGGAAAAAGGACTTCAAACGCCTCTCGCCCCAATCGTTTTCTCAAAAATACCATCAGAGATTTCAATTGACAGAAAACATTTGAACATAAAAGGATAGGGAGCATTTATTATGTGTTTCGCATTCAAATGGTTTTACTTTATAGTTGACAATGTACAAGGACCTTGGACAGGACATGTTAATTAATGCCTGGGATGGCTACAACTGTTCCATATTTGCCTATGGTCAGACAGGGAGTGGGAAGTCTTACTCCATAATGGGCTATGGGGCAAATAAAGGTATGCTTCAAATAACGCTCCTGTACACGATTCTGTCTGAACCACACACATTTGAAGATCATTAGATTTACTTATTCAGGATACATACGCAGATAACAATTGTGTAATTCTATCATTATATGTTTTTGTATTTACCACATAGGGGCTAGTTAATCTGCCTTTGTAATACGCTTTTTTGTTTTAGGTATTGTACCACAGATTGTTCAGAATCTGTTCAAGGATATCGCAAGTAAAGAGAACAAAGACATTGAACACCAGGCAAGAGCAATTTCGAACTTGATAGTTTTACAACTTAATTAGAATTCCAGTTCCGAAGAAACTGTATTCTAACATTATGATACTCATAGCATCTTTCTGTTTCACCTGATCTCAGGGCTGAGAAGAAATGGGTTGTCATGGTTTATCATGATGGTATTCTATTGTTATCCGACCGAACGAAGTTCATGGGGATATAGAGAAGCCGTCCATTCGTTAGTCCGTCCGTCCGTCTGTCCATTCGTTCGTTCGTTTGTCCGGGCGATAATTCAAATACAAGTAGAAGGATTAGTTCAAATTCGATAGGCTTATGCTTCATTGGTGTAGGGCCTCTGTTGGGGAAATAATTGTCAATATGGCCGCTCAATTCAAAATGGCCATAGTTTTTCTTAAAAAAACGTAATCTTGATAACTCAAGTAGTATTTGACGGATTTTGTTCAAATTTTATATGCTGATGCCCAGGGAAAAATGAATTTGTTCCAAAAGAAATGTTCAAGATGGCCGCTGAATTTCGAAATGGCAACCCTTTCGTAAAAATGTAGTTTATGATAACTCGAGATGGTAGCTGAAATGGCAGCCATTTTTTGTAAAATTTTTGATAACTCAAATACCAACTAGTAGAAGGATTTGATTCAAATTTTATATGGTGAAACCTAGGGACAAATGAACTCTGTTCAAAAAGAAATTTTCAAGATGACTGCTTTTTTGTTATCAAAACATGTTTTGTTCGGTGGGATTCGCTACTCCGAGGAGTTGCTGTTTTCTGGTTTTTATTCTTTTGCTTCTTCAACTCGGAGGCTAGTATACACCGTCATATGTGATGTCTTCAAGGAGGGAAATGTCATTTTTTAAATAGGCTATCAGGGGCGTAGGAATGAGTATATTCAACACTACGCCAAAAAATATGAATCAGTTGTGTCAAATCTTCTTTATCAAAACGCCTATTTTATGCTCGTAAATCGTCATTTTATGGCAATACCTTTCTAATGTGCTTAAAATGTTCTAATGTAAATGTTAATTTTCTCGAACGATAAAGACTACCAATTTCCAGATAACAATTGGAGATTTTTAATCATTTTTGAATAATTGAATTTAGATACATAGTATTGTCTGATTCCGTGTACCGTGCAATACAGATTAAAGAAAACTAGTATGATCAATCAATTTAAGAAACATATTCGTGGTCAATGATACAATTAACCCTTATGTCTGCACTCTCAAACCTTTTTTATAACACTTATTCCCGATACCAAATAACCCCCCCCCCCTCCACGAAGGTCAAATCGAGGTCAACGTAACTTAGGGGGTGCCAAAATGCTATATTTCCTAAAGAAATAATCTATTATCTTTCAAATGAAATCAAAATCCAGGTAATAGCTTTTCTAGAACTGAAGTTATACTTTATGTACTTTCAAAGTACATAATCGTACATAATTTAACATTCATATTTCAAGAAGTACTACTACATGTAATAACAAGAAAATAGACAATTGCTGACTTATTATTCCAATATAATTTCGGTCTATGGTTTTGCCTAGCAAAAAATTGCAAAGGTATTCATCAAGTAGCTTTTGAAAAAATGTTTTTCTCTCAAATTGTGATACACTAGCTGTGATACACTAGCAATATGGAATAATTACTTTGTATTTTCTACAGTGTTAGAATAGAAACAAGGCAGTAACTTTCAATATTTTATGAATTTAATTTTTCAAAAAATGTCATTTATCTTTGGCACAGAAACCTTGCAAAAGAGTACTATTGAAAAAATCGAGCATCTTGTGACCAGCGATGCGTGACCGATAATCACTTGTTTCCAGGATCTTGGGGGTCTCTGGTACTCACAGGTCGTGATCATTAATCGACAAACGTGATTTATTTTCCGTTCCTCGTTCCTGACTCCAAGTGGCTAAGTTCGAGTTGCAGCCATATTTTCTAAGTCCGAAATATTGCCGAAATTTCCTAAGACCAAAAGTAGTGAATATTTTCTAAGTCCATTTTGTTTCAGTTTCCTTCCGTAGTTAAGTTAGCATTTGATTGATTCCAATTTCCGAATGAATTTATTGCAATTCGGCACTTGTTTATATACAGGTAGAGCAACATAGATCATTCTGTCAAAATATTGCTTATATTAGCTATAATTTGGGCTTAAATTACGCTTAGCTTGCAGATATTTGAAATTGTATTTAGATTTTGATTGGATAATAATAAACATCAATATTATATTTTTGACAGAAAATCGTGTTTTGTTACTATAAATACATATGAACCAGTTCCAACTTGTTGCAGGTGAAACAGTTTAGGTTATGTTAAGACAGAAAATCTTACATCAAATTGTATTACTCATACCTGTAGACACTTGGATTATTATTACATTAATTTATATAAATTATTAATTGATTAATTAATTATAATTACCAATTAATCTGAAAAGCGGGTTGTAACAATATCATATGGTATCCAAAAACATTTCTTTGGGTTAGCGAGCTCGAGATTACGTTTAAAATTTATGCACAATGAGAAAATATGACTAAAGAACATAGGAAAATATTTAATTAATAAGCCTTTTTATTCTCACTTTTCAACACTACGCACTGGCGTTTTGGCGTACATTGTTCCTACGCCACTGGCTATTGACCACCTTTTCATGGCAAAACGCCAATATTTTACATTCTATGTCGTCATGGATTAGTCAGATAATAAGGATGTCCAATCATAAGCTTGAAAAGGATTTCTCTTATTACTGAAAAGTGCTCAGTTGCTACAATTGATACCTTAATATTAACATCACTGCTAGATAAAAATTTGACAGCTACTGGAAGAATATTAAATTAGACACTGAAAAATCACAAAAAATGATAACAGTAATTAACTACGAACCTGCAGAACTTTCAAGATAGATTTCAAACATGGGAAAATATTTTATTACAATTGACAGACTAGATATGCAAAGCATTTACAAAATTGAGGAAAGACTGGCACATTGTATTTAGAACACAAATCAAAGAGATGTTATGACATATCTGTAATTAAATTATAGGTAACATTCAGCATGCTTGAGATCTATAATGAACGCGTGAAGGATTTGTTAAGTAAGAAAAAAGCTCCAGCAGCAGGACTTAGAATACGACAGTCGCCCGAGAAAGGATTCTACGGTAACTTACTTTATATACTAACTTTGCGTTTTCCTTACGTCATGTTTAAGTTTTTCTGATGATTCAGATATTATTTTATCACTTGAATGGGCTATCACTTTAGCATGGGCTCTAATTGAAAGCCCATGGCTTTAGGTAGCAGATTTTCGTAATATATTTTATTATCTCCATTTAACCCTATTTCTCTGTTTCACAATTACATAAGTTATGATCTAGCAAACTCGTAGGTGGTGTTGAGAAATACAGCGTTCAAAGAGAAATTCATCCTGTCTCGGCGAAATAACCATGCGATGTCATAAAGATGATCTTAATGAATTCTTTCGCAAAACTTATCAAATTCAATATTGTTTCCCTTTCTCTGAATTAGAATCCGAAATCGAAGTTTTTCAAGATAGATGTACCGAAACTTTCTCAAGAAGTCTTTTCTGCAGTGACTCTAATAAAATAAAATTCTATTTCATGACTTCCAGTGGTTAATCTGAGAGAAGTTCCCGTGGGAGGTTTTGATGAAGTAAAGTCACGTATGGACGAGGGAAACAAAAATCGTACCATAGGACGAACTAAAATGAATGAAACCAGCAGGTACTAGTGGCAATAATAAACTTTGAAGATGAAAGTTGCGACTCTCCGACATTTATTAAGTTTGACTTGTGTTATGCAGATAATGTGAAGTAGTTGTAGAAAAGGTGTATACTGAGAATAAGGGCAAATGCCATTTATCCTCTCAATAACAGTTTTCCTAAAAAATAGTACATACTATTCCACATATTTCGGTTTATATTTTTCAGTCGAGCTCATACTATAGTGTGTATAAACTTCAAGCAGAATCGAATCCATGAAAAAGTGACAAAGTACTGTTCCATTAATCTAGTAGATTTAGCTGGCAGTGAAAACCAACGGCAAACGCAAGCCGAGGGTCAGCGTTTCAAAGAATCGCGGTCGATCAATTTATCACTATCAACGCTTGGTCGAGTCATCGAAGATTTAGTGCAGAAAAAGAGACATATTCCTTTTAATGATTCTGTTTTAACAAAGCTGCTGAAGAACGCCCTAGAGGGGAACAGTAAAACCACTATGATCGCTACCATTAGCCCGGATTCTGAGAACTATAACCAGACATTGTCCACATTACGATATGGTAAGTTTTGTTCTTGGAAAAACTGGAATTTTCCATTCTCTGACCTACTGTTCTAGTTTCATGACTTTACATTTAAATTATACGGAATAATGTACTTCGCAAATTCATGAGACTCTTTTTGTAGCTGATAGGGCAAAATCCATCAAAACAACTGCCGTGGTTAATGAATCCGAGACGAGTAAGCTAGTGAAAGACTTGAAACATGAAAAAGAGATACTTCTTCAGGAATTAAGCAACATGAAGTCTGCTAGAAGCTATGAGAGACAAGGTTATTCAGAAGAAGGTTGGCATATGAATATCAATTTTAAACATGAACTCTCAACAAAGCTCTCTTGTTTTCAAACACTGCTGTTACGGGTGTATTGGTAATCACTGGAGAGGTTAAGCTAACGATGTTTTTCACAACGTAACCGTGAACGCAAAGTACAAAAATTAACAAAGGAATGTATCGAGCGCTCATAGTTTTATGCGCGCTTAGTCTACTTCAGATACTCTTTCAGCTTCAGAGTTTCGCGTTTAGAACGGGAGATTATACAATTTGACGTTGGGTCAACGGGAACCATTTTACTCGTGTCTATTGAACACTATGCTGTCAATTTTGATTTCGATGCACAGTTGAATTCTTGCTGAACACGATGATGTATGTCATGCATGATTTAGCGCCAAAAATCTTACGAAACGAGCTCGTTTAAAATATGTATTAGAAAACCAGCTATAAAACCGCATCAATGATACTATAGAATCATTACACGCTATGGTGTAGTCTAAACAAACACTGGATTTGAACGGCTATTTATATGAGAAGGCTACATGAATTTGTATATGGTCGAGTGATACGTACAGGTTCAGTTTCGATTATATATGCAAAGCTTAACCTCTCCAGTAAGTTGCATTAACCCTAACGTTTGCTACCCTTTGCATTCGTTCGACTGCAGCTCGACTCGACTTCGAGCTTTGTCTTCAACTAGACTCTGCGCGCAGGGTAAATGTTTGCAACCTTTTTATAACACTAATGCCTTGGTCACATTACCTCCGATTTTTACTACGGCGCCCGGCCGATTGAGTATTTTGTTCAAAATTGAATACAATATTGAACAAAACACTCAATCGGCCGGGCGCCGGCCGATGGATCGGAGCATATGTGACCAATGCATAAGTCGCAATGTAAATAATTATCAATGTAAATAAGCACAGTGATCTTGGTTCCTCCCAATAATATTTGATTATACACACCACCAAATCATCTCAATGCGTGAGAACCTTCATATACTTGATTTGAGAGTGGATGGTGTATTATTTCAGTGACTGGTTCATAAGTTTATAATTCCAGATATACAAAGAATCAGAGGGGAAATAGAGGCTGACCTTAACAGTAGTATATCAGATTTAGAAAAATCATGGTCTGAGCGATTAGAGCAAGCAAGAAAAGATTTGGAGGTATTGTGTAACTGCATTTATATTGGTAAAATCGTCAAGGTCTTTGCCATCCTCCGATCACAGGGCTTCAAAATCCAGAATATATTCTTTCTTTTTACCCCCTGTGATAAGCAGTTAGCATTTCCCCGATTAAGAACTCGAAATCTGATTGGCTGTCGCAACACTGCGACAGAAATCATGTATAAGTCATTGTGCATAATTAGATCACGTGATTCAGTTAAATCGGGCGCTTCCACAGGGGTGAAGAAGGAGGTACGGATTCTGGACACCTGCTTAGGAGGATGGGTCTTTGCGGAAATGTTGTGTATTGATAGATGCAACCCTAACTCAGAAGTATAAAGTATTGTTATTACACCGCGACATCCACAGGGTGGTCCAGAAGTAAAATAGAGATTTTTATCATTTCAATACAACTGGATCAATCATTTTAAAATTCGCACAGATTTCCCCATCACAGTCGTAAAGGATTAATACCCTAAAAAAGACAGGGAAAACACTTTCTAGCTATTTTCATTACGTTTCTCACCAGCTTTTAAAAAACAGAGACATCTTTTTGTCTTCAGAGGGGGGTATACCAAAACCAAACCTTTAACTGTATCATGAAGTTCACTTGCATCAAAGATTTAATCACCGATTTTTAAGGAACAAATAAGGGAGCAGAAAAAAGAGGAAGAAGATATTACAAAATGGCCACACCTTTGGAACCTGAATGAGGATCCGGCTCTCTGTGGCAAAATCATCCACTTTTTAAAGTCAGGTACTGTGTATGTTTCCCATGGTTTATAAGTATTCCCTAAAAATCTTGTTTGAACGTCTGATTAAATGTAGTATTTAACATATGCATAGATTTGTTGATAAAAACGTTTAGTCCATTCACTTGGTTTTACCTTAAAGTGTTACATTGATAGTACAGTTTTTGACGTCACATTCGTACAAAATGAAGGACAACATTTTACTAGGATACCACTGTGGACTATTTGTACTGAAACTTATGAAGAAGTCTATATTGGTTAAATATGTAGAAGTGGCCATTCACTTCTGGTACTATATTCACCGGTGATTCGCTCGATTACGCTGGTTTGTTTCGGTAACAAAATGTCGGAGAACCTTTTATGTTGAAGTGGAATTAAATCGACGATTCTGTTGTCTTGTGAACTATTTGTTCGCAAACATGTACATTTTCTTAAACATATGATACTGATACACGTTTGTGGTAAAAAATGTCGTGGGAATTCTTCCTACAACGTGTGAAATAAGGAAAAAAGAAAAATCGTACCTACGACGTTCCGACATTTTGAAATTTTGTTACCGAATCGAACCGTTTCGGTAACCATCGTTATCGAGCGGATCACCAGTGATATTATCATATTATCATATATTTGCAGAGAAAGAACTAATAGGTAACGGAAAAGGTCAAACAAGTGTGACAATTTGCATCAATGGACCAAAGTAAGCTACCTCGAGTGGGGTTGATTTTTCAAATCACCCCCACAACTACTTATGTATTGAAATTTTGGGGTTTTAAATGTTGCCATGAGTTGACACAAAGTTGAATTTTATCTAAATAACCACTAATCCAGCTTATCTTCAACCCCAAGATTTCAATACACAAATAGTTGTAGGGGTGTTTTGAAATATCAACCCCATATTTATTGGGGTAAAATAAGCATAATTAGACTCCAGTGGGCCGTTCTTGTACCGTTCGTAGTAACGAACGTTCTCAATTTGTAAATTTATTAATATTCGTAAGTCTATTATGAACGATTAACAAGTTATTAACTAGTTATGAAAACGTTATTTCTGCTTTCGTTAGCAGATTTGATAGCACCTCTGACCCTTTCATAATTTTGCGAACGACTTCTTACTTATTGTATTTTGTGACGTTTTGTCATTTTTAAGCAGAGAGGACTGAGGGCGACACATCAATTTATTATCAACTTATTTCTATTTCTATTTTGCTTCAATCTGTATCTTTATACAACTTATCGTACGACTTTGATTTTATTAAATCTTGTTTGTTGTGCTATCTGGACTAATGGTCCATTTGTGAATTTATGAATTCAAAACTCATTCATAACTTTTAAATTATTTACGAATATTAATAAATTTACGAATTGCGAACGTTCATTACTACGAATGGTACAAGAACGGGCCCCTGTCTATCTATCTAACTATCTATTTATCTATCTAGAAAATAAAAACAAATCTGTCATCTGGAGTCTGAAATTGAACTTTTTCCAATTTCGAATTGTTATTGTTCTAATGTGCGAGGGTCGTCCCAGAAGTAATGCACTATTTGCTCTACCTTTATCAATATGCGGTGTTTTTCCTTGAAATTTTCAGAGAATGATCTTTGGAGATATTTTTATTATTCTACAAAGTTCCTTATAGATCGATAATAATCCAATGATGTTATAATAAAATCAAGTCGGTGAGTTTGGGTAGGGTGGGGCAGGTTTTTGTCACGTCAAAAGAAATAACAAATTGAAAATATGAAATGATTTAATCAACAAATATCATTTTGTTAAGCTTTGATAAGTACGCTCAAAAATAAATTCCAAGTGACTAAATTACTATGAGTACATCCTAGATTTAATTGATGTATTATTAAAGTGTCCCATTTCACGTTTTCTCAAAATACTGGTCTTTGCAAGTAACACACTTTTGCTGCCTTTTCCCGAGTTCTGGTACGATTCTCTGAAATCCTTGTGAGTCAGACTAGCAAAATGATTTGACACTGCATTTTTCAAGTCATTTTAAAATCTCTTCTGCCACTTAATAATTGTAGTTCTATCTGGTATATACTCCGTGTATACTTTCTTCATAGTAACTTGAGTGTTTGTGGCTGTGAATCCAAGTGAAGTATGAAATTTGGCCACTGAACTCAAGGTCTTCTTATCAGGTTTGAGAATTTCAGCCAAATTTTGCAATTTCTTGATTGTGACTAAATTTCCATTTGTTACTATCGAACTGTGGCATTGGGCTTATTATTTGTGCTTGGTGAACATCATTCTGAATATATTTAACAATTTCCTAAACACTTTGATCATTTACATGAAAGAAATATAAACTGAATAACACTTAGAGCTTTTCATGATTAGAAAAATTGATACCTGCCCCTTCCATTCCTACTCCCGCGTTGCTATAGTAGCCATTTCAAGCCTTAACATTAACGTTTGATGCTTAAATTTTGAAATATAATATATGACACTTCAATTGCAATTGATACACAAAAGTTTAGCTGAATTGAAGAATATGAAAGAAAATTAGAGCATATAGTGCATTACTTCTGGGACTACCCTCGTATTTAGGGTTTTTATTTGACACCAAGTCGAAGCGTACTACTAGTATACCTACATTTACAGTGCTTCCCAAAAAGGCAACAAGCAAAAACATTGCAAAACCACAAAACCAGTGATGATTACATCAATTCAATTTACCATAAAGCCATGTGTCTCCTCTTTCCAATGGTATGTCATTTGTTCATATCTGATAATAGACCACTGAATAATCATTGTTTTTCGCGCATTGTTGAAAAGGCATTTGTGCAAAGTTTCATTCAACTGATCTATAAACAGTTAAGTCAGTAAAGGCACAATGACTAGCAGTTGTCATCTTATGAAAGATTACATTCCATGCCTCTTCATATGGTCACCATTTCTCTACACAGAGATCGTCTCGTGTCTTCATGTGATGAATACCTCTTTGAATCATTCGTGGGTTCTAGCGGAGAGCAGCAACCTAATTGGTGATTCTTTGTCAACTGTTGTTATGTTTAAAATTTGGACCAGAGCGGATTTTGGCCCGTCATACAAAAGTAATGATTACTATAATATTAAGTGGTTAGTGGTCATATATGAATAAATGACATACCATTGGAAAGATAAGACACGTGGCCTCATGGTATAATAAATGAAATTGATGTAATCATCACTGGTTTTGTGGTTTTACGTAGTCTTTGCTTGTAGCGTTTTTGGACACAGTGTATAGATAATTGACAGTTTAACAAACATAGGAAGTACAGGGTGTCAAATAAGTCCCGTCCCCCCTCTACAGCAAAAAAGCAACATATATGGTACCAAGTGTGATATATCATTGGAATGGTCTTCAAAAGTTACATTGGTTGGCATATATTTGACACATGTCAATCAACCTCACAAAATTTTACATTGTATCGATCGAGGTGACCATGGGCCTAGAAACCTGGCAATTTGGCGTATTTGGCAGGGTTTTAAGAATCGGGTATAAGAAAAGTCAAAGGACCTAAAGATGACAATACATGTATATGGCAATGGATTAAACCAATTTCTGGATAGGGTTAGATGTGTAGAAAATAGAGGTGCAAGGAAAGTGGTGAAACCTTTTTGTTACAAGTGGAATGCGAAAAAAGGTGAACTTTTTGACATATATTTGAGGTCACATCCTTCTCATTTTGATGCAATTAAAGCTGCTTAAGGAGGGTAAACTAACTATAAAAGACATCGTGAAAATATAGGCAAATTTCATTTAAAATACTTGAGGGTTAATGAGTTAACACAACTTTGGATGATCTTTCCAATGGTATATCACACTAGGTACAATATATTAAGGTTTTGGCTGTAGCAGGGGGACGGGACTTATTTGACACCCTGTATATGTTCATATTATAGCTTAAAATGTATTTTTAAGTAGAATCGGAATAAAAATTGTAATTAACAATGATTTTTAGCATAGTGGAAAATCATGCTTTCATATTCAACCGAGAGGGCAGTGTCTTCTTAGTACCAGATGAAGGTCAAGTTCTACGAAATGGCTCTAAACTTGATGCCTCTAGTGAGGTCAAACTGTTCCATCAAGACAGGTAAAGAGAAATGTTCCCAATCGACGTGTAAGTCTGCCTATGTTGCTCAGTATTTTCATTGTATTTTCAATACCTTGAAGGACTGAGTGTGACACAAAGTCTACATTTGCGAAAAGGGAGGCCCAAAATGTAATTTTTATTTAGGCCTTCCTAGTATGCCATATTTTGTCATACATATTGATAATCTTATGCAATTTAATAAAAGTCATTCAAACAATTTTGCGAAGCTTTATTTTTGTCTTGGAATTTTTGTCCTCACAATCCGCATATTACATATCAAAATATGTTATCTTTAATTAAAGTGCATAAAGTTAGCAAAGCATTGATTTAACCATATCGATAGGCAATGGATTAGATAGCCCATATCCCAAATTTCTCTTAAATGTTTGCTTAATAATTACAAGAATAACTCGATATTTCTATTATAGATGTGTAAACAATTTGATTTCGCGAAATGAAGTCAATCTTTTATATTCAGTTTTAGAATACGTTTTTTATTCAAGTGTTTTACAGATAGAATCAGAAAAATAAAATGTAAAAACTAGGGTTGCCAAAGGGGAGTGATTTATAAGCATGTTCAGAAAAGCTATTAATTGTTGGGCATGTTTCATTTTGATGTGACATAGGTATGATGATTTAAAAGTTCATAGCCATTCTAACAAATAATACAACCGTTTCTGCTATACAGTGCGTCTCAAAAAACGCAACGAACAGAAACATTGCAATACCACAAATCCAGTGATAATAACACCAATTTCATTTCATTTACAACGAAGCTACATGTCAACTCCTTCCAATGATATGTAATTTGTTTATATACGACGATGGACCACTGAACAATCATCGTTTCTTCTCACACGGGTGAAAATGCCTTTGTGCCAAGTTTGAAACATTATTCAACTGATCCTTATTATGCAATCAGATATTATCATTATGTAATTGTGGCTGAGGATTAACTTTTGAGACTTCCATGGCATGCATATCAGACTCGGTATCCACGATAGTTTAGTTAGCAGCACATCACACATATGGAAAAGAGAAGAGGAATCATTAAAACAGTTAGTCAATTAAAGTTACTATCATTTCTGTTATTTTATGAATGATTACTCATGGAAATTACATTCAATGCCCATAATTTCTCTGCAAGTACATATTGGCTCATTTCTTCATGCCACGCAATGCTTTTTGAATCATTTGTGGGTTCTGGCAGAGAGCAGCAACCTCATTGGCGATTCTCTCTCGTAGTGTACAATGTCTAAAACTTGGTCCAGAGCAGATTTTGGACCGTTGTGCAAAAAGAATGATTATTCGGTGGCCCACATATGAATAAATGACATATCGTTGGAAAGAAGAGATACATGGCTTCATGATTAACTAAATTGAATCAATGTATGTATCGCTGGATTTATAATTTTTCAATGTTTTTGTTTGTTGCGTTTACACTGTACACTGTACTGGAATATAGCATGTCATTCATTGAGCAAAAAACACTTTATATTTTTCTTTCAGGATTTGTTTTGGAATCAAAACTTTGTATGTGTTCCACTCTCCTGATGAGGCCGCAAAATCGAGATTCCAAGACAACGTACTGACTTCCATAAGCTTTGATACTGCATATAGCGAAATGAAGCAGAATTCTGGTATTGATCCATACGAGTGTAAGTATTTCTCGGTATTAGACTTGTTTTAACACTATGCGAAAACTGAACAAACAACACACAATTTTAATAAAAATGTCATATCTAATATAATATTATGATAATGTACCAGTTTTATGCCTTGGCATGTTGCACCCTAGGTGACATCATCGTGATGTCATTTGTGATGCAAAAACATTTTCAAAAATTAAAAAAAATATGTCTGTGTCAATCTTTTTTAAATATGCAGACCGTTCAAAATACACCAATGTTTTCTGTCTTACATGTCTTAGAAGAATATATTATGTTTTGAATATTACTGTGCCATTAGTTTCTACGACAACTAAGATTTTAAAAAGCACTTTTCTCTGAACAACTTTCATACATGAATGAATCCATTTCTGGCTTATGTATCAGCTAATTTTCTTAAATCGACAAAGAAACAGGTTAGGATGAATGCTATGCATTGGTGTGAATTATCGCTTTCATTATATCAAAAGATATGTAAAACCTTTAAAATTTAGTTTAAAAATAAATTCACGTTTTACGAAATTCAAAAAACAGTTTCATTATGTCACACTTTGATAATATTGGGTAAGTCTACAATATAAGCTAAATTGGTTAAAACTTTATATATGGCCTTTAATAATAATTACATTAGATATTGCTGATGAGCCGTTCAATATCGACATACAAAGATTGGATCCAGATGGCATTGAGGAAGATGTAAATTCTGATGAGGAATGTAGTGAAAATGCCTCAAAGATACAAAGCGATGAGACATTTATGTTAGAAGAAACAAACTTAGAAACAACGACTCCCAAAGATGCATTGAATATGCCATTTTCAAGCAATGAGAAGACAGGTACAGTTGTAAATAACATAGCATCTAAAGATTGTACTGAAATAGCTATCCCAGCATACCTAAAAAATGAGTTCATATTCAGATCTAGTAACATTTATGTCCTATGCATGCCTATGCATCTCTGTAAACAACATAAAACTCCGTTCGGAGGTAATTGAAATTTTGAACATGCGAACATACCTTACTCAGGTCTATGATTTGTTACACTGTTCCTATAAAATCATACCAATATGATGCTGTTGTCTAAATGTGAAAAGAATGAAATCCATATCGAATTCAATCCTGTACCTAAAAAGAAGACCTAAATTACAAACATTAATGAATTAATGATACACCTGTTTTTCAAATTCACATTTTCAAGGTATCTAAATTGGAGAATGTATACGGATAAAATCAAGTGTTTAAAAGGTGGTAAGCCACATTAGTTATATAAACATAATATGATGCCATTTAGATTTAGATGAAGTTTTGAAGAAGGATCCCGACGAAGCATTCAGCCTTGATGGTCAACAATTAAAACTTAAAGGGCAATTCAAACCTGACATAGCATGTGATGATGACAAATACATGATAAAGGTGTCTAACCTGAAGCCAACAACACATTATGACACCCTGAGTATGTTCTTTGAGAGCGAAGAGAAAACTGGTGCTGTTGCTGAAAAAGTGGAGTATGAGGGTGGCTCTGGAATGGCCTTCATAACATACGGCGAAAATACAGGTATAAATCTTTAAAAGACAATATATTATGATATGAGTAGGAGAGCATTATAGTACAAGTACATAATAAAATCAACATTTCAAGCATATATCTAAGCATGGATAATTAAATATGTGTTTTTTCAGACTTAGATGAAGTTCTGAGGAAAAATGCTGATGAACCATTTAGTATTGATGGTCAGCAAGTAGAACTAAGTAAAGCGAAACTCAAACCGCATATACAATGCTATGATGACAAATACATGATAAAGGTGTCTAACCTGAAGCCAACAACACATTATGACAACCTGAGTCTGTTCTTTGAGAGCAAGAAGAAAACTGGCGCTGTTGCTGAAAAAGTGGAGTATGAGGATGGCTCTGGAATAGCGTTTGTAACATACAGTGGAAATACAGGTAAAAATCTTTATTTACCCATAAATAGTGAAATCTTAACTTTTTATCCCTTTCTAGAATATTACAAAATATGATAGAATCAACATTTAAAGTGTTGCAACATTTTATTGTAAGCCCAGCTTAAATATGTAATTCTAATTCAGATTTAGATGTAGTTATGAGGAAACATGCCGATGATCCATTTAGCCTTGAAAGTCAGCAATTAGAACTAGATAAAGTACAACAAAATCGTATTCACAATGTGATGATGACAAATACATGATAAAGGTGTCTAACCTGAAGCCAACAACACATTATGACAACCTGAGTCTGTTCTTTGAGAGCAAGAAGAAAACTGGCGCTGTTGCTGAAAAAGTGGAGTATGAGGATGGCTCTGGAATAGCGTTTGTAACATACAGTGGAAATACAGGTAAAAATCTTTATTTACCCATAAATAGTGAAATCTTAACTTTTTATCCCTTTCTAGAATAATACAAAATATGATAGAATCAATATTTAAAGTGTAGCAACATTTTATTGTAAGCGCAGCTTAAATATGTAATTCTAATTCAGATTTAGATGTAGTTATGAGGAAACATGCCGATGATCCATTTAGCCTTGAAAGTCAGCATTTAGAACTAGATAAAGTACAACAAAAATCGTATTCACAATGTGATGATGACAAATACATGATAAAGGTGTCTAACCTGAAGCCAACAACACATTATGACAACCTGAGTCTGTTCTTTGAGAGCAAGAAGAAAACTGGTGCTATTGCTGAAAACGTGGAGTATGAGGATGGCTCTGGCATGGCCTTCATAACATACGGTGAAAATACAGGTATATAAGGGTTATGTACTGGGAGGTTTTGGATATGGGGTTTATCCAGAGGGAGATATGCATATCTACCTGAGGGACCGTAGGGACCGAAGGTAGATGTGCATATCTCACGAGGGATGAACCCAATATCCAAACCGACCGTACATAACTGCTTTATCCTATACCAAGTAGAGTTTTCAGGGGCATATGGCCATTCCAGTAATACAAGGTGTAAAAATAAACAAATCATTCATATGCAAAGTCATTTTATTGCATTACCAGAAGCGGGAAGATATGCACCGGACGCGGGAAGATATGCACCGAAGCGGGAGATATGGCGGGAGATATGGAGGTTCTGGATATGGAAACCTCAAAATCAGGATACGGGATATATCTTACCAACTTATCTCCCTAAAACTCTACTTGGCATAGGATAAAAATCTTTATTTATCCCATGATACTACTACTTCCCTGTGAATAACACCCGGGAATATTTTTGGTATTGAAAAAAATCGTATTGTCCCCCGCTCACGAAAATTGTATTCACCTCTAAATTCCGCTCGTGAAAATGGTATTCACTTTCCGGGAATTTTTGAGAAACAAAAAAAAGCTTCCTGTTTCGTTCAGTTGGGTCGATAGAGCGTGCTTTAATGATGTTCTTATGTGAGAAACATTGATTTGGAATTTGAAGGGATGTTTCTTTATATAGATATTTAAAACTGATTAGTTTAGGCATTCTGGATAATGCTAAAGCGGCCATGTTGGCCAAACCATTAGTTTCATCTCCGTAAAGGCTTTTCTCGTCTCTCAACGTTTCAAGTCTAACCGTTTCATGGATTGATCATCACGTGTCTTGATATCTAAACGGTGGTTCACGATGGACTAATACGTTTTTAAAGTTTATATTTCTATTCAGATTTAGATAAAGTTGTGAAGAAACATGCCAACGTCCCATTCAACCTTGAAGGTCAACAATTAAAACTAGATAAAGTGCAAAGCAAACCCCGTATACAATGTGATGATGACAAATACATGATAAAGGTGTCTAACCTGAAGCCAACAACACATTATGACAACCTGAGTCTGTTCTTTGAGAGCAAGAAGAAAACTGGCGCTGTTGCTGAAAAAGTGGAGTATGAGGATGGCTCTGGAATAGCGTTTGTAACATACAGTGGAAATACAGGTATAAATCTTTTTACCCATCAATGGGAATGTTCATATAGAGTGATTTCTTAGTTACTCATCCCTTCTACATAGAACATGATAGAAAATGGCTTTAATACGTACGTATTTCTTTATCCAGATTTGGATGAAGTTCTTAAGAAAAATGCTGATGAACCATTTAGTATTGATGGTCAGCAAGTAGAACTAAGAAAAGCGAAACTCAAGCCGGATATACAATGCAATGATGACAAATACATGATAAAGGTGTCTAACCTGAAGCCAACAACACATTATGACAACCTGAGTCTGTTCTTTGAGAGCAAGAAGAAAACTGGCGCTGTTGCTGATAAAGTGGAGTATGAGAATGGCTCTGGAATAGCGTTTGTAACATACAGTGGAAATACAGGTAAAAATCTTTATTTACCCATAAATAGTGAAATCTTAACTTTTTATCCCTTTCTAGAATATTACAAAATATGATAGAATCAACATTTAAAGTGTAGCAACATTTTATTGTAAGCCCAGCTTAAATATGTAATTCTAATTCAGATTTAGATGTAGTTATGAGGAAACATGCCGATGATCCATTTAGCCTTGAAAGTCAGCAATTAGAACTAGATAAAGTACAACAAAAATCGTATTCACAATGTGATGATGACAAATACATGATAAAGGTGTCTAACCTGAAGCCAACAACACATTATGACAACCTGAGTCTGTTCTTTGAGAGCAAGCAGAAAACTGGCGCTGTTGCTGAAAAAGTGGAGTATGAGGATGGCTCTGGAATAGCGTTTGTAACATACAGTGGAAATACAGGTAAAAATCTTTATTTACCCATAAATAGTGAAATCTTAACTTTTTATCCCTTTCTAGAATAATACAAAATATGATAGAATCAATATTTAAAGTGTAGCAACATTTTATTGTAAGCCCAGCTTAAATATGTAATTCTAATTCAGATTTAGATGTAGTTATGAGGAAACATGCCGATGATCCATTTAGCCTTGAAAGTCAGCAATTAGAACTAGATAAAGTACAACAAAAATCGTATTCACAATGTGATGATGACAAATACATGATAAAGGTGTCTAACCTGAAGCCAACAACACATTATGACAACCTGAGTCTGTTCTTTGAGAGCAAGAAGAAAACTGGCGCTGTTGCTGAAAAAGTGGAGTATGAGGATGGCTCTGGAATAGCGTTTGTAACATACAGTGGAAATACAGGTAAAAATCTTTATTTACCCATAAATAGTGAAATCTTAACTTTTTATCCCTTTCTAGAATAATACAAAATATGATAGAATCAATATTTAAAGTGTAGCAACATTTTATTGTAAGCCCAGCTTAAATATGTAATTCTAATTCAGATTTAGATGTAGTTATGAGGAAACATGCCGATGATCCATTTAGCCTTGAAAGTCAGCAATTAGAACTAGATAAAGTACAACAAAAATCGTATTCACAATGTGATGATGACAAATACATGATAAAGGTGTCTAACCTGAAGCCAACAACACATTATGACAACCTGAGTCTGTTCTTTGAGAGCAAGAAGAAAACTGGCGCTGTTGCTGATAAAGTGGAGTATGAGAATGGCTCTGGAATAGCGTTTGTAACATACAGTGGAAATACAGGTAAAAATCTTTATTTACCCATAAATAGTGAAATCTTAACTTTTTATCCCTTTCTAGAATATTACAAAATATGATAGAATCAATATTTAAAGTGTAGCAACATTTTATTGTAAGCCCAGCTTAAATATGTAATTCTAATTCAGATTTAGATGTAGTTATGAGGAAACATGCCGATGATCCATTTAGCCTTGAAAGTCAGCAATTAGAACTAGATAAAGTACAACAAAAATCGTATTCACAATGTGATGATGACAAATACATGATAAAGGTGTCTAACCTGAAGCCAACAACACATTATGACAACCTGAGTCTGTTCTTTGAGAGCAAGAAGAAAACTGGTGCTGTTGCTGAAAAAGTGGAGTATGAGAATGGCTCTGGAATGGCCTTCATAACATACGGCGAAACCACAGGTAAATGTATTTTTATCCATGGATTGGAATGTTCATGAAGATAAATGTCTTAGTAGTTATCCTTTTTCTCATGGCGACATTTAATATACGCAAAGCTTTCATTTCATACAGATTTAGATGAAGCACTGAAAAAGTATGCCAACGTCCCATTCAGCCTTGATGGTCAGCAATTAGAACTTAGTAAAGTAGCACCCAAACCGGATAAGGAATGCGACGATGACATATATTATGACACCGTGAGTACTGCTGCTGATAAAGTGGAGTGTGAGGATGCCTCTGGAATAGCGTCCAAAACACATGATGAAAAAACAGGTACATATTATTTAGTTCATTTGTGAAGTGTAACAGCTGTTTAGTAACAGACGTCTGATGAAAGGCCTTAAATAACGTACACTGAAAGAAATTCGCGGTAAATCAAAATCGGTCTATATGATCTAAAACGTTTTCCCCTAACAATAAGCGATTCCTTTATTCTATCCCTAGTAAAACTTGGTATCCATTGAATATCATCATCATATTAAGATATGACTGTCCATCTAAATAACTCTAGGGCACGGCGACGGTATGGTGGATTTTCTCAAAGCCTACGACAGTGTCAAGTTTGATTATATTGAGCATGTACTGAGAGTGTTTAATTTTGGAGATGGCCTGATCCGATGGGTTAAGATGTTTAATAATGATATTAAGAGTTGCGTCCTTAACAACAACGTGTCAACTGGCTGGTTTAGTGTTAAACGTTCATGCAGGCAGGGGGACCCGATTAGTTGTTTGAATTGGACTTTTAGGGATAATAATATCATATGACACGAATGCAAATAACAGAGATAATTTTGAAAGAAAGTTGAATATGCTTGAAAAGGTTCTTATACTGTGGTCAAAACGAGATCTTACTTTTCATGGAAAGGTACATAATAAAAGAGGCTCTATGCCATAGGATAGCACAATCAAGACCCCTCTGAACTTTTTTGCATGGTGAGTTTCACCCATATATACCCATCTACTTACCAAAGAAGAAGTCCCAAATCCCCCTCTTTCAGTGTTAATTTTGCGATTGTGCTGGCCGATCTAATTATTTTCGAAGAAATTAATTCAATCTGAAGTTTGAATATACCGGGAAAGTCCTCCTGTTATCTGATTGGTCGTTGAATTTGTTCATCATAAACCTGATTGGCTGCCTGGTTCAACGCGCTTGTGGGCGCCTGTGTGACTCAATGGGGATTCCCCTGGCTAGCCGAGGAATCGATTGTGTTTACTTCTGGAGTTTGGTTGTTCTATTGATTATTTCCGATATTTCGGCAATAATATACCCAAAAGTTATTCTCAAGATATATCCATGGTATGTGAGATATTACATGAGCAATAACAATAGGACATCATTGACCCCTATTACACAGGCCGGTTGAAATGTCTCGTTACGAAGCATTTTGACAAAAAGCTTCGTAACGAAGCAATTTAGGCCAGTGTAACACCTCCGCCTTCATTAGAAAAGCTTAGTTGATAACGAAGCAATTGAGTAGAAAATTCAACGAAGGTAAGGTCCCAACGAAGCTTTTTTGGCTAGTGTAACTTCGTTAGAAAACGCTTAGTTTGCGGTTTGCGCATGCGCGTAATAAAGAGCACATTCATCATTTTGTATTAAATGAGGGAAATCGCGAGGAAAAATACGTTTTTAAGTACGTATAATATGCTGAGTATTGATTAAAATAATTAGCCTGTCTATTTACGTCACTGATTACGTCCCCTGCCTTCCCTCGCATATGCTTGCTTACTAAATAGAATGACGTGGTATACATTTTTGATATTTAGATTTTTGTTCCTCGTATAATCATACCTTGAATATAATTATAATTAGATGTTAATACCATGATACTATTGCTTCCCATTCAGTCAAATCAGGGATTTAGCTGATTTAATTTATACGAAGATGCCCCTACTCAGAAATCGTATTCAACTGCCTATCGCCCTAGCTTTTGCAATTCTTATCTGGTCGTTCCATTATTTTATTATTCGACGATTTTAATAATTGAAGTTAAACTTTATATTGAAATAGATTGAATTAATGTTTCAAAACTACCGTTTTACATATGCGGTAAGACCTGCGAACAAGGAACGCTCTGCCAAAACTGTTCCTTGTTGACAGGTATTTGCAACAGAGAGGGCCTATGTGTTAGGCCTGCAGCCTCGAAAACCAAAGTCCCGCCTAGGCATTCATTATTGTTGCCTTTTAATCATTGATGTGTCCTAAGACGTTGCTTACAACTGATATTCAAGTTTCTTCCTATTTGCGTCATTTTCAAATTCAACTGACGGCTGATGAATTAACATACTATTTTTATGGCCAGCTCATTCAAATATGAATGGTATAGTGGCGGGTAATATTCATATTAAAATGAATTGGTCATGAAATAGTAAGTTAAACCAGCAGCCAAATCCGAGATATTTAATAATGGCGACACTATTTGAATCACGTAATATCATGGTATAACTGAGAAGCCCATTTGGGATTCGTTTTTATACGATATTACATACTTGCCCCCTGTATAAACACCAAATCCAATCCCACCTAGCAATTAACCTCTAACTATTCCATATGTTTTGCAAGAGAAATGATAGAAAAATTAGAAGAAAATATATGTAATCGTATTGACTGAAATATATAAATATCGAAGTATCACACATTCATCTGGTTTTATTTTCCCGGGAATTTCTTTTTTTGTTCAGAATTGTTTCAATAAAGTTTAAAAGTTATGATCATTGATTTATATTAAAATAATACGAATATTAATAAATAAGTGGGCGGAGCGGAGTAATGCGCACGCACAACGAAGCATTTTAAGTAACAGTCTCAAATAACTGCTTCGTTAGGGTTGGATAAAGCCAGTGTGGACACAATTTTTTCGCTAACCTTCGTTACAAAAATTCTTCGCTAGACTCAACCCAGCAGTGTAACAGGTACCATTGATTGTCTGGGGAAGAAACCTATGGCATAATGCATCTTTAAGTCCCATGCAGTTTCCAAGCTAATATACTCGATGACAATGACCAATACGTCTGATGATATCTTGACGAAGGCTCAACGACTAGTCTGTTCTTTATATGGGGAGGAAAAATTGATTATATAAAGCGAAATACTTTAATAGGGGATTTTGAGGATGGGGGTTTAAGAATGATTAACATGTTCACAATGGAGAAAGCCCTGAAACTAATGTGGTTGAAACGTTTACTTGACACGCTAACTAGTCACTTGAAGCTTATTCCTCAAGTTTATTTCAAGCGTTTTGGAGGACTTAGTTTTTTGCTGCAATGTAATTATGATATTAAAACACTGACATACAATGTCCCGGCCTTTTATATGAATTTGCTCCGAAACTATTCAGAATTAAGAAATATGTCATCGCGTAGAACCAGTTCAGAGGTTAAAGGTGAAGTAATTTGAAATAACAAATCAATTCTAATTAATGATAACACTGTATGTACAGAGATCGCCTAGTATTAAAAGTGGGTGATCAAAGACTCGACAAGATGCGCAAAATTCAAATATCTTGTAACGGTTATTTTTAAAAGATTTATTTGTGTTTATATTACACGCTACTGGTGATTCAATAAGGCTTTGTAGGCACAAGAACACCCATATGCTTTGAAAAATATATATTACTTTGACCATTTTTCGTATATGTGATTGATTTTACGATGTAAAGATATAAATGCGATATAATATGTGCTGTTTTATTTAAAAAGCTTTAAAATATCAAAAACAATAGAAGATTTTTACTCACTTTAATTTTTTATACTTAGGTAGGGTCTTGGGCTTCCATTTGACCATGATAAAGTTCACGTTTCCTCTTAAATAACATGGAATAAATATTTTAACACAGAAATGAATTGATCGGCCTATAGCGTGAGTTTCACCAGATCATACACTATATGTTTTAAAGAGAAGAAAAATGGGGTTTCATGCAAAATGTATGTCCAAATTAAAATAAACATGTACATCACCGTTCATTGATTCATTCGATTAAATGGTCACTGTGTGCGTATATTTTGTTATTCTGTTTATGTTTGAATACAATATGATATGTACACTGTACACTGCTAAGAGAAAAACCTCTTGAAGCGTAACACCTTATAAATGGAACAGTTTTTAAAGTCACATTTCAGTCCATTTATTTTACCCTTTGATTCCAAGGTATGAAAACTTTACACCTTGGCATCCAAGATGATTGTCGAATTGTAATGCAAGAATTGAATAAATCATAATGAAAATGTATGTCAATGTATCACCCATTTTCATGATTGTGGTTGTTATGAACATGGGGTCTCATAATAAACTTATTAAATCTGAATTGTACACTATCTATTTCATTGGGGAGTTAAATCATTCTTTTGCAGCAAGGTATCAATAAGTTATATAAAAATGTAATGACCTTCAGTAGATGCCAGTAGTCAGTTCCCAGTTTCACCACGAGGTGGCTAACTTGGGTCATATGTAAATGATAGGTATAGGGGAAAGCTGCTCTATTGTTCAATATTCAGAAGATTTATTGATCAATTTTCAACTAAGGTGTATAGGTGATTAGCTTGAAAATGTTAGAATTGTATGTAATCGAATGCAAAATAAACGCCCTGTAGGCGTTTTTAGAGAAACAGTGTGAAATAAATACTATACTATTCTAAACAACGTTATGTGGATGGGACTGAGGAAAAGTTCAATAAGATATTTTGGATGATTTCATTCGATTATTGTCAATCACTGAAATTGACATAAATTCATCACTTTCTACAATTATGTGTTTATTCATTGATTTCACTTCATTTGGGTATTATTCCAGAGAAATTTCTTGTAATCATTCTAAATTTGCCTCTATTTTCAATAATCTTTCTCATCTTCATCTCTTCATCTTCATGGTGTTCTATAAGGTGATTTAAAATGTTTTGAAATTTAACAGTTCGTAGTGAAGGACAATAGAAACATGTGAATCCAACCAATCTGAAATGCAAAGAACATATCATTAGAATCCACATGGTAAAATCACTCACTTGGCTGATCATAATTTTTTTTCATAACATCCTCCTTACTCGATACTGAAGGGGAGTTGGAACGTCTGATATGCATGTAATGTTAAGTTTTATGTATATTAACCATAGATGATATTGGTTTTGTGGTTTTGGCAATCTAAAAACAGAAAATTTTGTGAAAAATACATTTTCGTTCGACTGGTTTTTGATTTTGCTTCTTTTATCAACTCAGTTCAGGTATTTCGGTTGATTTAATCACCGAATCCTGTTACCAAATGAATCTTGAGTCCCCTTATACAGCATATGGAATACCATCTGTAGGTAAAATGACTTTAAACTGGTAAAGAGAAGACAAACAAACATACCTTTCCTCCGACATTTTGGACTTTGCGCATCTTGTCGAGTCTTTGATCACCCACTTTTGATATTAGGCGATCTCTGTACATACAGTGAAATTGTTCATCGGTGTCACGTGTTGGGCACAACAAAGTATTATATCTTACAGCGCCCCCTATGATTTACATCACAGCTCATATATTTTATTCCCCAGTGTTCATTAAACACCTTGAGCATGGTCACACTTAATTTATATCTAGTTCAGATTATTTACTAAATGTTAAACACAAAAATTAATTGCCAAAATAGTAAGAGGTATTCTTATTAATTAAATTAGTTATCTCCTATTAAATGCCAAAATTAAGGATTTTTCTAATTATTATTCCTTTTTTTCTGGAAATATTATATAATGTTTGGTGATATTATGTACAAAGTTAAATCTGAATTGTACACTATCTATTTCATTGGGGAGTTAAATCATTCTTTTGCAGCAAGGTATCAATAAGTTATATAAAAATGTAATGACCTTCAGTAGATGCCAGTAGTCAGTTCCCAGTTTCACCACGAGGTGGCTAACTTAGGTCATATGTAAATGATAGGTATAGGGGAAAGCTGCTCTATTGTTCAATATTCAGAAGATTTATTGACATTTTGGATTTTGCGCATCTTGTCGAGTCTTTGATCACCCACTTTTGATATTAGGCGATCTCTGTACATACAGTGAAATTGTTCATCGGTGTCACATGTTGGGCACAACAAAGTATTATATCTTACAGCGCCCCCTATGATTTACATCACAGCTCATATATTTTATTCCCCAGTGTTCATTAAACACCTTGAGCATGGTCACACTTAATTTATATTTAGTTCAGATTATTTACTAAATGTTAAACACAAAAATTAATTGCCAAAATAGTAAGAGGTATTCTTATTAATTAAATTAGTTATCTCCTATTAAATGCCAAAATTAAGGATTTTTCTAATTATTATTCCTTTTTTTCTGGAAATATTATATAATGTTTGGTGATATTATGTACAAAGTTTGGTGTTCTAACTTGAAGGAGTTTCTGAGATAAGGCTCTATTTGCGTTATTTGTTGATCACCCCTTGTATTTTATATTTGTGGCAAGGCGTGTGATCTACGTAAACTTAGCATGTTTATGTACCTCCTATCCTCTGAAGCAAAAAAAAGAAATATTGACTTCTACTGAGGAAAATGTATTCCATGGGCTTCACATACATTTTGAGGGGCTGTTCTACTTAAGTTAGATACAACTGTTAGTCTGAGATTGAAAATTATGTCATGTTTAGTTACAGCCTCTTATAACTAGTAACGTTGAGGTAATTGGGCTGTTATTGTAAAAAGTTATATTTCTCCATCACAAATGTACCATCCTTTGCATCTGTCTCTGTCAACACCCTTTCAGGTTAATTTTCGGAATTTTGCTTTCGCCATCATTGTACATACAGTATATATTCATCTTGCTATTAAGAATATTTAGAGAACTTTTCCTTCTTTATTTTCACACTTTCGAAAAAATGACTTAGTCAGAGAATGGCCTCTTACTGGAATGTCCCCTTTGAAAATATGTTAATATTTTATATTTGGGGGGATACGACAACTAAATGGCATAACTCTCTAAATAATGGCCTAAACCTTCCATTATATCTTTAAAATGAAGCCGAAATATGTCGCAATTATATAAACACAACAATTGTGTCAGAAAACGTGTGTGTATCAATATAATTGTTGGCGTGAGACTGCTTAAAATGCAGTAACAAACACATGTTTTCTCAAGCAAGTATTATAAAATTATGAATTCGAACTTTGTTTTGTAGACCCAAGTGGATAGGTTTACTCTCGTATTATTATTCAAAATGAATGTGAAATCCTTGAACAAGGCCAATTCTTAAAAATGCAATCCCAAAGATTTTGAGCATGTATTAAACATAGGCATATTTTGATTTGGCAAACTCCATATTTCGATCAGTAGGATTTTTTGTTCCTCGACATTCTGTTCTTCTAAAATTTGAATAAATTTAGTAGTCAAGATTTATTGTATTAAAGTCAATTTTGAGACCCTGGCTTCCGTAATATATGCATTTTCTTTCTCATTTTCTAATCTATATCAGATGTCAAAATCGTTTTGCAGAATTTGAAGTCTTTAATTGGGATTTGTTCAATTTCACCAATCTAGTTAACTACATTATTATAATATATTTTTAAGGCCTAGAAACCGATGAAGACGAAGACATGTTAGAAAGTGACAGTGACTTGGATACAGAATATCAGAGCGCCCTTCAGAAGAAAACGAATAGATCGGGACATTATATAAGTGATAAAATGCGCGTAAATGTTGGAAATGGGATGGATAAAAGAAGTTGTATTGTTCCTGGAAAGCCTTCTTTTTATAAAATTTCTGCAATTCGGGCTGGAATTAAGTGGTCTGAGCCAAGGTACGATCAAGGAATGTCAGTAGAATCATATGAAATTAAACTGAAAGGTGCAAATGAGAAATCGTGGAAAAGTTTGAATCACGTAGTAAAGCAAAGTACTCCAGGGCGCCAAATCGAAATGCAGAATGTCAAGTTACAGGCAAAAAATCCCTATTTTGTCAAAATCGCGGCAAAATATCAAGATAATACAACTAGTGATTATAGTGAGATTAGTGACATGTTTACCATAGAGGCGACTGGTGAGGATGTGTTCAAAGCAAAGATTCTCGAGACCTGCTTTACCAGTGCAGAAGACAAAAAACCTGCTGTATACCAAATGAATTTAACAAAAACATATGGAGAAAAAGATGGATCGATCTTTAAGTATGAATATGGAAAAAGAAATCCTAAAATGACAAATAAAGTCGTCCTAGTCGTTGGGGCTACAGGTGCTGGCAAAAGTACCTTGATCAATGGATTGATAAACTATATTTTTGGAGTAACTTGGGATGATAGCTACAGATTGAAGCTCATAGCTGAACCTCATGCAAGCAAACAAGCCGTTAGTCAAACCAGGCTAATAACTGCGTACACCTTACATTATGAGACTGGTTCCAGAGTTCCATATACAATTACGATAATTGACACGCCTGGCTTCGGTGACACGGGGGGTTATTCAAGAGATGAGGAAATCACTGGACAGATACGTGAACTCTTTACCAAATTTGGCACAGAGGTAATTGATCATATTGACGCAGTGGGGTTCGTTACGCAAAGTTCTCTTCCACGTCTCACACCAACACAGAGATACATATTTGATAAGATATTATCATTGTTCGGAAAGGACATTGGAGACAACATTCTGATGATGCTAACATTCGCAGATGCTCAAGAGCCACAAGTGTTAAGTGGTATAGAAGAAGCGGGATTTAAATATAAGAAATGTTTCAAGTTTAACAATTCGGCCGTCTTCGCAGAAAAGAAAGGAGTGGAAAGCGTTGAGATGTTTAACAAAATGTTTTGGAACATGGGCGAGGAGAGTTTCAAGCTGTTTTTCGATTACCTTGTCCGTTGTCAACCTAGAAGTCTAACTCTTACCAAGGAGGTATTGGAAGAGAGGCATCGGTTAGAACTATACATGGGTGGGTTACAACAAGACATATCGGAAGGATTAAGCCACTTAGAAAGTTTGACGAAAGAGGTACAGGTTATTATAAAAAACCAAGCACTCATAGACGCCAACAAAGATTTTGATTACACCGTTGACGAGGAGCACACAGTTCGAGAAGATATTCCCAATGGCAAATACGTGACAAACTGCTTACAGTGTAATTTCACCTGCCATTATCCATGCATTCTTTCTGACGACGACGACAAATACAACTGCGGGGCAATGATGGATACAAAGGGACCAAATGCAGTTTGTGCATTTTGTCCGAAACGCTGTTCGTGGAAACTACACAAGAATATGCCATATCGATTGGTTATACAAATTGAAACAGTACAAAAGACCTCCCAGAATTTAAAGGAACGTTATCAAGAAGGTGTGGAGGGAAAGATGACAGCCGACAATTTGAAACATCAGGTGAAAAATGATTTCAAAAAACATCAACTTATGATGTACATGCGAACCGAGGCTGCAAGAAAAACTCTCAAAAGGCTTAACGAAATTGCACTTAAACCAAACGCAATAACGACTGTGGATTACATCGACACACTGATAGAGGCAGAGAGATCAGAACACCAACCTGGTTATGAAAAAAGGATAGCCCACCTTCGAAAACTTCGAAAACAAACCGAAATGTTTGATAAAACAGTTAAAAACGGAAAAAATCCATTTGCGGAGCACATTGATTTGATAATAATATCCGAAGAAAAGAAAAAACATGACGGATACAAGGAGCGAATAAAAGAATGGGAAGAAATGAAGGAAAAAGTAAGTACAGATACTGATTTGTCAGAATTGCTCCACGACATGCCAGAGCTAGAAGGAATCAGTGTTCCACAGAAAGGTATGAGTAGCATTTGGTCTGCGCTTAAAAAATTTGGCAACTTCCTCGTTCCCCAGAAGTTTGCCTAGACAACGTATGCGATTAATCAAGTGAACTATTAAGAATCTAGTAGAATTTATATAATGTGACATATTTAACGACCAGACCTGATTATAATATCCAATGGTATGTCTACCTAAATGAAAATTAAAAAAGATGTCTTTGTATAATAGCGAATTAACAAGATATATATATGTCGTACAGAGGGGGTACAAGAAACATTGATTTTAAAATAAATATCAGCGTTACATCGCTACAAACTGAAAAATAGATACTACAGGTGGATGGGTTATAAAGAAAATTAAACGAGTGTCATTCACTGCGTCTCCAGCAGGCGTCTCAGATCATCACATTTTGCCCCGTAAACTGTCTGCATAATTTCAGTGGGGCTGCGATGGTTTGGTCTTTTATATACACGATAAAAGACACCTCTTGACCCAGAGCCACTGTGAGCTGGACTCTGCGACGGCGCCTACTGCTGTAGCTGCTGATTTCAACTTAGATTGTGTTAGTCCTAGCTGAGGAGTTAGGAGGCTGGGAAACCCCTACATCCGACTTCTGTTGGATACTGCACTGAATGTCACCCCTTGTCATGGCCTCGTCTACCAAGTCTTGTGGATTTCTTAAGCTGGTTGAACATCTTGAGTCGGTCTTCCCAGGGTACTGTGAACTCGATGGTGATGGTGGTTCTGTTGCTGTGATATCAGCAGCACACCGGGACAGAGCTTGGCCTGGTGACTGTTTTCTCTATGGGAAGTTTTCAAAGTCCAGGAAGTTGCCTTGGTTAGAATGTTAAGCTGGAGTAGAGGCTGAGATGGCTTCTGTTCGGCCATATTCCCTTCTCGAAAAACGTAGTTCTGGCCCTGCACTACCTCTACTGGTTTTGTGAAAAAGTCTGCCAGTCTATCCATTTGGCTATCTCTTAGAGGACCATGTGGTGCCGCTATCTGTATCTTCCGTCGCAAAGGACTTCGGGTCAGCTGCTGACAGTTTATTGTGCAGTCAGTAGACATACACTGAGGGCGGTTGGCTGTTTCTTTTTGCCCCAAGATCTGAGAATTGGCGGAGATGGTAGCAGGTCAGAGAAGGCTCCTCCATGGGCCAAATGTACATTTTTCATTTACAAAGTTAGATTTACACGTAGATTTTCTAATGAGTATTGCAATTTTGAAAATATGTTGCCTGGTTATGCCCAAAATATCTTAAACACCTTCTGGCTGGCATATAAATAATGGATAGCTTGGATAACAACCTTTTGAAAAATTAAGAATTAGTTGGTACAAAATTAACTGCTGCTAATTACTTAGATGCTAGTGGGTAGTTACCAGTTTCGCTACCAGGTGGCTTATTCGGGGGGAAATAACATGGCAGGGTATTAAAAAGTTCCTTTAAATTCGAATATTCATCGGTTTCATATAACCACTTTGGATGAATCAGATTTCAAGAGCTTGGGCAGAACGGCTGTATTTGTTTACAATTTGGATAGTTAGGGTGCAGTTGAGAACATATTTCCTAATATATTGAAAGAGGAACATGAGCAAAACAAGTAGTATTTTGTTTTGTAGTAGCTGTCCAAATAATGCAAAAATAGTATTTCTGTACATGGGCTTGCTTCCCGGCTTGCTTGTACTTAACATACTGTAAAGGTAGCTATACTATTTGCCAAACTTTACCCCCACATGGTCGGAGGATTATTGGATACAACAGATAGTTAATCCCTATATGTTTGATTCAATAAGATGGAAACGACTTTGGATGAGTCGTTTGCATTTTTGACCTACAGCTACCTTATCTCTATATAGAAAAGAGATTCAAGATTTGCAATTAACGAAACACATATCATATGAACATCACAAAATATGTAGAATAACGTTTGTTATTCAATCATCTCGATGCATAATTTCAACCAATCATGTATTGTAATACAATGTTATTGACCAGCATTTAAATGTGGCACGTGACACTTGTACGGGTTTTGTCGAAAAATGAATGTTGTATAAAGGCATAATCGTAGTTAGTATCCTGGTAAATTGATATGTTTTCGAGGAATAAGAACTGCAGTGGAGATATCGCATAACCCCGAAGAAAGTGCAATTCTTTCATTATATCAGTATATCACGATCACTACGATAGTAAAAATGAAATTGAAATGCAAAATGCATTCAAATTGGGAATGGACGGTTAAAACGATTCATAGATCTCGGTTTTATAGTCTCAGAAAAAATTATTACTTTATTTGTTGCAATGTTACAATAAAGCCTAACTCAGATTCAAGTATGATGTCATAAAATTAATATTCATTAAATTTCCTAGAATATCACTTTGTATAACAGTCTGTACAATTAACGGTTGAGTTTTTGAAAATACCCAATTTAGACCCAGTCATCCACCTTTATAACCTGCCTGCTAGGAATTCAGCATTTAATACCATTGCAGAAGAGGTAGTTCTCGAGGTCTAAGGTCTAAGACCGTGGACCATGCTCTTCTAATCATGCAATATCTAATTTTTACTTACATGGAGAATAATCATCAGTATGCTTATCAGTGTGATAAAACCTTCAAAGATGAGAATGACCTTCTCCAAGTTGTCCAATCGACCCTGCGATGTCTCACTCATGTGTTTGAGTTATGGATACAGAGTGCTACTCTTGTACTGACCAAAGAGGAACCTACTTTTCAAAGTAGGGGGTACAAAGGAGTATCAAATGATGTAAAGCAAATGAAATTCCCACCAGTTGTTGCATTTCAACTTTGATATGGGATGTACAAAATGTTTAAAGTCAGTGAAACTTTCTGCGTGGAATGTTACACCGGGTATTGTAATGTCATGTTACCAAAGCAACCATAACTCTACCCGAGTTTCATAAATTTCGTCGACACTTTTTGTCGGCAGTTTTAGTTACAATACTATAAGTTATTGAATGATTTGAAGTGCAATACAGGATCTATTCTGTTCGAGAAATTTTGTATTGGAACGAGACGAAGTCGAGTGCCAATACAGAATATCGAGGCAGAATAACAGTGTGTCACGTGCCACAAATCATTCAATAACGTTTTTATCGTGTGATCCTCTGTATTGCTACTGAGATTGTCCCCTCCGTACCTATATTTTCTGTATTGCGACGGAGATGATCAACGGGGACAACCTCTGTAGCAATACCGATTGGTACAGTACAAGAACTGACCAATCAGAGGGCTTTATTTTACAGATCATACGATAAATGAAAGTACATTATGTAAACATTTAAAAACGATCGGTGCATATTTAACAAAATACCAGCATCAGTCCTGTTACTTTTAAAACACCCTGTACTTTTGGACTTTACCATATTAAATACTGTGTGGGTGTTAGAAAAACATATTGTTAAGAATATATTCTATTTTATGTATCTGTATAACCTGCCTTAAATTTTGCATGAAATCAAATGATGTTTGTACAAATTGTAAATTCAATGACGAATGCAATATCAGCTGCATTGTGACATAAAATATAAAACTTATTGTTACATTAAAGTTAGTGTTTAAGCCATCAAAACATATCCGTTAAATAATGTATAAGAGTAAAATATGTGCTACATATGCTTATTTTTAAATTCGGATGAGTATTTGCAAAAATATCTACTAATATTTTTTACATCAAATTGGAAGAAATGATAAGTCAAGTGTGAGTTAACTTGTCTTGCTTGTGTGTTATGGTATCTAACCCGACCAAAACCACTAATGCCATCTATTAACCTTATTGATCCATTTTACATAATATCAATTAATATACATGTATATTCTGTAACAAGTCGAGCATGATTATTTTAGATTGTTGTATTTTTGATAATGACATTAAAAGTTGATTTTCCTTATAAATATGTAATTTAGCAGAATTTCTAAGGACATTTACTGTATCAATGTATAATTGATGTATGTGTACTGTCAATAAAATGTTGGAATTCCGATGAGATGTATGATAAATGATGTTCCCATGGGATATTCAATAATAACATCAGACTGAAGGAATAAGAAAATGGCAAGCCTAATGATATGTGTGTATTTTGCATGGTTTAGTTTAGCATTGCTAATATAGACCGCATTTTCTGTGTTGAATAATGTACAAATAGTTTTTCACCGATTGTCTTATTTGATAAGCATGGTTAGTGAATATAGAATGATCTTTTTATAAATGTTACCAAACAAACTCTATGTTCAGTAGTGTTGTCCTCATTCTTATGGATATTAGAGCTAAAATTCAGCCCCTCCATAAGTTTGGCATCCATAAGTTTGGATCACTTGTGTGCTTGTTTGGCGATTTAAAAAGATCAATCTGTTTGTACATTTATTAACTATTCTAATTAACGATTGAAATTAAGATTCAAACATTCATAGATTTTGATATGATCAATGAAAACTTCCGGTTGCCAAACTTATGGAGGGGAGTGTACAAATTACTTTTTTTGTTTTCATAAACTTTTATTTGCAAATGTAACTGCTTTGCACACGCTGTTTGGTTAAAATAAAAATAATTTAATTGATGATTGATAAAGAAATGGTTCTTGTTTACCCATATTTTGAAATGTAACGTTCACTTGCAGGAGCTATTTTTGCGATTTTGTAGATTTAGCTTGTCATTGTTTTTCTTATAATTATGAAATTTGAGATCGATTGATGTTCTTTCAGTTTTTTACAAATATGCATTCATTTTTTCTAAACATTAAAGGGGCAACAAGGCCTGTACGAGGGTTGTCCCAGAAGTAATGCACTATATGCTCTAACTGTATCAATAATTGATATTTTTCCATGAAATTTTCGTTAAATGATCCTTAGAGACATTTTGATTATTCTACAAATTTTCATGTTGACTGATAAAACTATATTGATGTTATGATAAAATCAAGTTGGTGGGTTTTGGCTAGGGTGGGGCAGGTTATACGGTCACGTTAAAGGAATAAAAAATTGAAAATAAGGAATAATTAATCAACGAATACCATTTTGTGTAGCTATAAGAAGTATGCTCAAAAATACATTTTAAGATACTAAATTA